TCTTAATAATGTAATTTAAAAAGTGTATAACTGATATTGTGTAACAGGAAGAAAAGGTCTAAAAGAGCAGGGGAATTGGGACGGGTAGGGGAAGGGAAAAAAGGGAAAGGAAAAAATATGAAAAGTGGAAAAAAAATGGAAACAAGGTCTTTGCAAATAGGGAAGGGTAGAGGGGCTGAAGGGAGGGCAAGGGAAGGGGAAAAAAATAAGAATCAAGATACTCATGTAAAGGTACAAGATCCCAATGATGAATGTAACTACATTTTATACCGAAAATGTACCAATAAACTTAATGGGGAAAAAAAAAAAATGTGGCCATTGTGTAAGAATCCTTACCCACGTATTTACAGAGAACAACCTGTGCTGCTGGGACAGCGTTCATCTGGAGGATATTGTACTGGTACAGCTCTGTGCCTCTGTTGCTTTTATCTTGCAAAGTCGTGCAGACCCAATACGCATAACCTATTGCTCCCTCAGTCTGTAACAAGCCAAGGTTAATGAGTGAACACCAATTAAGAAATAAAACAGCATACTTTGATACCATAAATATCACTCCCAAGTCTTCTTTAAGTCAACTGTTTACATTTAAATGTTTTTAAATGTAAAGTCACCATGAAGAAGCCTAGCTAAGAACATACTTCACCCACTTGCCCTAGGCCTAAGTGGAAGAGTCAGAGGGAATAAGGTGCAGAAACACAGCCTCGCCACCGGGCTGCCTTTTCCCTTCTTGGCACCTTTCCCCTACATCAAACTAGACTAATGAATTCTAAAGTATTTTCTTAAAGAGTCTAAAATGTCAACCAATTCTAGTCCCTAACTCCATTTTTCCCCTGGTATCTTAGTTTCTCTTTTACTCAACTGCTACTACGTCTATTAAATTTCAATGTCATTTCCTCACCAGCTTTTGAAGGATGGTAAGATGAAAACTGAAATCTTTAATTAAAAAGTGTATGTTTTTAAGAAAGAATAAAAAGGAACAACTGTTGTCACTAACATCCTCTACCACTATCTATTCTTTTTTTTTTTTTTTGGTACCGGGGAGTGAACTCGGGTCCTTGCACTTGCGCAGCAGGCGGCGAAACCACTGAGCTAACTCCCCAGCCCATTTTTAACAAGAATAATACTTTATTAACATATCCGTAAGAAGAATGTTCCAATTCTTACATGCATGCAGAGTTCTGTAGTGTGTCTGAAGAGATCCATAGTGTCGTAACTTCCAACTGTCTCTGCAATAAGAGCCTATAAAAGGAAAATGGTGTCTTAATGTGTTTAAATCATAATGACGGTGATAATAAATGAATTTAGAAGAACGAAAGGTTTACTAGCTGGGCTTAAAATCAAAGTTAATTTACGCTTCAGTCTATTATTACCATTTTAATTAAACCTATCAGTCACCACTTGAAATTAATTATTTTTAAGAACAAAGATATTTTCAAAGTAAAAATATATTCTGTTAAGTAACTAAGAGCTACTGACTAGAGCAGTACTGCTAAATGTGGTCCATGGACTGACCAGGTTCATCGTCATAATCTGGAGCAGCAGAAATGCAAATTCTTGGTTTTCCAGGGTGCAGCAGCTAACCCAGAGGTTAGCACAGTAACCACTGCTCCCAGCGACTACCACAGTTAATGGGAACAGGAGTTTCCTTTCTCTCTCAGCTTGTTCCACCAACTAACTAGAATAGACTAAAGAGACAAAATAAAGGTAAATAATCCTGGACTAATGACTTCCTGATATGGGTAATGTTCCTATTCTTCCTTAAACCAAAACAATCAACTGCTTACTAATTCATCACAATTTCTCAGTCAGGTAAGACACTGAAGGACACTCAGGCAAAGGACCTGCTTTTTTAGGTGAGAAAATTAAAATCCAGAGAGGTGATATGTTAAAGTAAAATAATCAGTCAGTGACAGACTCAGACTAGCAAGCAACTATCTTGCTTCCTATTTGGCAATACAAAAATCTAAACTTGGAGAAGGAAAAAATACTCAAAAGTGCCAAATCAAACATGAAGATTTTCAGAAAATAAGAAAACAATAATCAAAATGATCTTTGTAAATGTGTTTTTTGTAAATGTGAGTTAAACAAAGCCTATTTTTTAAGTGCAGTAATGACAGCCTAATGGTATCCAAAAGTTCATTACAACCTGTGTCACCTTAAGTGACAATACATAGGATCTCTAAGCTCCAGTTCTACCTTTATAAAAAGAATATACCAAAGCCACATCTTAAAGGAAATACTGTAATGCATACAAAGAGCACAATGACTGACACACAGCAAGTCCTCAAATGCCACCTGTCATCATTATTGTTATCATTGTTATTTATATGACTAGGTAGGTTATTTATGTTTATATTAATAACTGTTATATATCTTACTTGTCCAATCCAGCACATTAAATAAGATGGATCAAGGGACTGAGCCATTTTGAAAGCTTCATGAGCTTGCTAGGAAAAAAAGGCAAGAAAATATCACATTGAGTAATTTTATAAACAGTATGTGAATAGCATAAAATAAGAAGAGTAAGAAAAGTCAAACATATCACAGATACATATTAACCTTAAACTTTAAGCACAACTAGCAATGATTAATGCTGTTTTTTAGCTACAGTCTTAGAACAATCCTGGATGCAACAGGTTTCTCTACAGGTTAGAAGTTCTGGTCCCCAGGACAAAAACAATATTAAGTGTTTACCTCATAATCTGCACAACCTTTAACCAATCATATCTACATCTGCTAGCTAGATACTTGGAGGAAATGACTGAGTAAGCTGAATCTATTCCCTTCTCTTTGAACTTAGTTGAAAGGGCAAGAACTCATAACTAATAAAGTCTGAGACGTTACTAGAGAGTAGTCAACAACACAACTCTGCATTAGGCAGTCAAGAAATTTTGACGATAGCTCATTAGGATCATTAACTTGCATGCTACAAAAAATAACCTATTGTCACAGCTTTACACTGTTTTCTCAATTATCTCTTGTGTGGCAGGAGAGAAAGTTGTTTGTCCTATAAAAAAAAAGTAAGCTCAAGAGCAACAACTGTGCCATGCTACAGTAAATTTATATTCATGCTATATTACCTAATTCATTGCTTGACTTAAACTTTTAAAAAATATGTTCACTTATTTTTTTTGTGGTACAGGATATTAAACCTAGGGTCTTGTGCCAGACAAGTACATGGTCTGACATTATGTCACATATTTTTAAATCCCAGTTAATAGTCTTTCAATCTATTTACAATCTTTAAAAATGAGTCTTATTTGCAGTGAATGAGTTAATGTATGTGTTCCTCAGAGCAATATGGAAGCTTTTTTACAAGGATGAGATTCAGTATATTGGCTGAAACACATAACAGTGCAGATTGCGGTATTGTCTACAGTTCTGTGAAAACCTCCCAAACCTGACCTGTGAACATGTTTCCCAGTCCTTTAAGTTCCATTTCTCTAATGTATAACTGCTCAACTATCACAAAATACATTCTGGTATTTAAAGGGATTACTACTCACTAAAGCCAAAACCTAAATACCACAGGTAAAGGTTAAATTTCAGCTGCTAGAGAATAATCATCTCCCTTACCTCCACCCACCCCATCCCCAACACACTCTACAAAGGATTTCTGTTGCATGTGAAAAAAGAAAAACACCCGAATAATTCATAATAGAACTGTTTTTTAGTCTCTAAAATCATAGATATATAAAATAAGTTTCTCAGAAGTTTCTTGAGAGTCACGGAAGGAAAGATAAATCTTACATACTCATTCCTCAACATAATGAATTGAATATAATGAATTAACTAGCATATCTGATAGTATATTGAGTAGCTAACAATGTCCAAAGTTTTCTTCCACAAAAAGTTAAGCTATTATGAAGCAATAGAAGATAGAAAATGTTCCTTTTATCTTTAATAAGACAAAACTGACAATGTTTACCTCAATGTTTTCATTTGCAAGGTACAACACTCCCAAGTTGGTCCATGCAACAGCATTCTAGAAAATAACATATATTTTGAAAATTACACCTCTTATCTACTTGGAAGACTCAGAAAATCTGTAACACTGCATGCTGAAGTTCTTTTTCATATATGACACAGAGGTACTCACAATTTGTTCTGACTGGATTGATTTGATGAAACAGTGCTGAGCAAGGGCGTAATTTCTAATACCTGTAACATACAGAATTTGACATGACTGTACCTCATTACCTGAAAACAGTAATCTTCTAAAAATACTGAAGTAAGCACTACTAAGTACTCACCACTGTAACATGCAACCACTCCAAGAGCATTCCAGTATAAGTGATTATGACTGTCAAGTCTCACTGCCTTTTTCAGACACTGAAAGAAAATTAAATGAGATTAATTTTCATTTCTTGGAATATCAGCATTTATATCAAGATAAATATGAGTTTATGTGAAAATGCTAGAATTTATTTTAAAAATCTTTCCAAAAAAGCACTTAGGTTTTTTTTTTAAGTTTATAAAAATTTTCTCAAAATCATACATGCAAAGATTTCTCTAGTAGCTCTTTAAGATCACTCGTGTTGCTGCCTGTTTCTGCTAATTGTTGTGCTTGGCGATAATAATTAATTCCAAGATCACACCACGTATTGGAAGTGGACATCAGTTTTAATGCACGACCATAACACCTGAGGAAAAAGGAAAGTGAATGTCATGTTTTGTTATAATGTCTTAATTCAATTTGAATTAGGATTCAATTTGAATTTCAACTGAATTTGAATTCAATTTGAATGTGATTAACCAGTAATCTTTATAAATTACCTTCCTCCAAGATGGAGCAGCTCGTTTTTCTTTAACGCTTGTTTCCCTTCTTTCTGACCTAGAAGGACACCTAAAACATTAATATTCACTTTAGTCGGAGAAACAGCATAGAGACTGGTGCAAGCGTCCCCAACTAGCTTCCAAAGGCAGGACACATCAGCTCGATGCTGCAGAGCCCTGAAAGAACAAATAGCATAATTCTTACAAATCATTTCCCCAAAGTATGCAGTTTATCCCTCTTATTAGTACTTACAATTAAAACAAAAATTGTACATGCAGTCTTAAGCATACTTCCTTAATTAAGCTCTAGGAATGCTTTACTAACCTGCTCCTACTGAATTACATCCTATTGCCTGCCTAATAGGAAGACAAGAAAAAAAAAAAAGGGTGGGAAAGGGGAGAATTATTTTATATGCCAGAAATTTTGTAGTTTTTTTGGACGTGCAAGAAATTTTGCAGCTTTTAGTACTCTTCACCATTTTTATTAAAAAGTAGCAGAAATCAAATAACTAATCAAAAAATTTTCCAGGATCAATTTACTTTCAATGCTCTTTTTCTTTGTTTAAGCAACCAACAAGGCAGTGAAGTACCTAGTATATATTTGACAATTATAAATGTAGGTTTCTGCTTTTAGACCTTCCCTCAAAATAAATAATGTATCAAATATATTGAGACTCATTCTGATACCAAAAATAAAAACCGAAACATGTTAAGACCCACATTTACAGAAGTAAACACATACTGAATAGACAAGGTCAAAAAGTGAATACAAATATTAATTACAAAGATGGACGACACTTCCTTCTAGAATGAGAAAAATCAAGAGTTATATAGTTATCTTCATTTTTCTCAAGCTCTTATAAGTAAAACAGCAATTTCATATAAGCTACGCCTCTATAATCAGTTATCATAAACTGCTATGTCACAGGCAGATGGACAAGCAGATCTGAACATTTTTCATAACCTTTTCTATGTAAGGAGTCCAGCCAAAAACTGTTCTAATATCTTCCTGAAAAATATTAATTATTTCAATCACGACTGAAAAAGCACTGTGAAAGAAGGAAGAATAGCACTATTTCAAGATACTTTAAATATTCTAGCAAAGTTTCTAAAATTGACAACATGAAAGGAGAAAAAAAATAAGGAGGTAACTGTTAACAATTGAAACTCTATTCTTTTAAGTTTAACGAAACAAAACAGCTCTATAGTAAAATAATTGTATTACCCTTAAAAATAATTATAGTGGGGCTGGGGATTTAGCTCAGTGGTTTTGCAGCCTGCTGTGCAACCGCAAGGACCCGAGTTCGATCCCCAGTACCAAAAAAAAAATAATAATAATAATTATAGTATAAACTCCTTTACGTCTAGAATTAAGTATAAATTTGAAGATTATAATTTCTGAGCATTTTATATTCTACATACCTAACTGGATGACTGCTATATGTTATCCAGAATAAAACTTCCTACTCTCAGGGAGGCAGTTCTTATAGCTAAAATATTCACTCAAAGGTTCACATTTACTCTTTAATATCAGCTCAAACAAGGCATGCTCACTGCACAATAAACTTCCTCTTTGAGAAAACATATATGTATGAATATTTATAAATAGATATGTGTGTGCACATATATATATATGCACACACACATATACATACACATGGGGGCAGCACTAAGGATTGAAAACAGGACCTTCGCACTGAGCTACACCCCCCGCGCATTCATTCATTCATTCATTCATTTATTTATTTATTTATTTATTTATTTGAGACAGGGTCTTGTGAAGTTGCTAAATTGCTCAGGTGGGGGGGGTTAAACTTTGGATCCTCCCGTCTCAGCCTTCCAGAGTGCTGGGAACACAGGTGTGCACCATGATTCCCAGACTGGGGAGACCTATCTGAAAACTGAAAAGCAGCAAGAAAAATCTGTGAAAGAGAAAGCAGGGTACCAAATAAATAGGAAGCAAGTGATGGCAACTTGCAAAAGGAAGGAAGGGAAAACAAAGCGATGTTTCAAGAGCAAAACACTTTAAATGTACAGTGGATCTTTACAAACGCAATCTGTTCTCAAGGGCTGGTTGTAACTCAAGTTGGTCAGCTGAAGGCTCAGGCTCCTCTACTTCAAAGTCTCTCTCGTATACAGACAGATCTGTGCCCTTAGAGAGACACTAGCCCAGGATTTCTCAGTTAACCTCACAGGAAAGGATGTTGTATTGTTCCTTCCAGAACTCTTTAAGGGTTAAATGTGTATCTGAGACCATCAAGAGTCACAAGTAGCTAGCATTCAGGTCGTAACTCAAGACTTTGAAAGTTGTTCATATGTCAGGCAGGTCATAACTTGAAGGTCCGCTGGATGTCTAACTTCTGGACTTAATTTCTGAGACAATTTTTTTTTCAGTATTGGCAACTGAACCCAAGTTATTGGGCATGCTGGGCACTGTGTATGTTAGGCAAGTGCTCTAACACTGAGCTAAATTCTCAGCCCATTTTTATTTTATTTTGAGACAGAATCTCGCTAAGTTATCCAAGCTGGCTTCAAACTTGTAGTCCTCCATCCTCAGGCTTCTGAGTAGCTGCGATTGCAGAAGTGTACCACTGCACCCAGCATAGCTGGTGGGCTTTTGAAAGTCATCTGCACTGGTAACATTTCTAATGAACTTACATTAATGAATTAGTCAATTTACGCTTCTATAAGATATCAGATTTACTCAAATTTTACTGATCCCTTTCTTACTAGACACACCATTTTTTTCTTACAGATTCTCTTCATGAATAATTTGGCTGCTTATTTCCCTTTCCTTTAGGCCTACCAGTGGCCTAAAACAGTCCTGTACACTCCATGGAAGTCACACTGTGCACCTGCAGCCCCATGTAACCATTCGGTTCCAATTAGAGACACTCCCACTTCCAGGTCTCATGAATGAGAACACTAATAGGAGGTGTGATCCCAAAATACAGTGTGCATTCAAATTTTTAAATAATTATTAAAGGACACATTGCCATTAATTCCACTCAAGGTGCTCTCCCTCACTTCAGACACACATATCTCACCCTTCTTTGGCACTTTCAGAAACAAGTGGCAAGTTTCTGGAAGTCCTCTTTCATGAGTGTGGCTGCCTTGATGTCATGAATCCATTCAAATGTTTAGTTTTTGTGGCTGCTTTGACTTTGGTGAAGAGCCAGAAGTTGCACAGTGCCAGGTTCAGTGAATAAGGACACACCATAATATTTTTACAACCCTACCTTTTCATTGGATGGCACAGCTGTACATTCACCATATTTTTTATGAAATCCCATAAAGACACCCCCAAAAGAGGACTTCGAGATCTACTTCAGAAAATGGCAAGAATGATGAGAAAAGTGTGTTCAAGATTAAGGGGGAACATTTTGAAGAGTCTGATGTCAATGTGTTTTATTTTAATGCATATTTTAAATTTAAACATTCACTGTAGTATTTTTTCATCAGCCCTGTACATGGTGCTGGAGCTGTTGCTCCACTAGTAGATTACTTCTGTCCTCTTCTTCCTAGGTCCAGCGAGCCAGCTTCCACAAAGAACAAAGAAATTGCATCTTTTCAACAATGCAAAATTAATACAACATATGTTACAGAATTAATTGGTGAGTCTGTTATTAATTATACTTCACATTCTGAATAACTAACACAATAGACAAAATTATTTCCTAAATTTGGCTTTATTATAATACTAAGAAAAATAAACATAATAAATAAAACAGTAATACTAACCAAGTAAAATATTCCAGTGCTTTTTCTGTGTAGTCTATAGCTCTCCCGTCAAGATAATCAACTAAAGCTGCTTTTGCCATCAAAAGATAGCATTCACCCAAACCTAAAATCAGATAAATTTGTAGACTAATTAAAATACAAAAAATAAACACTTAAAATAACTTCAAATAAACATATTGTTATTCTTTTAAAGTCACTTTCCAGTAAATAAAAGTTGTAGTATTTTATAAAATGATCTTGAATACATTTAGCAAGAAATTGAAATGTCAGGGTTCTATTGGAGTAAACATGCACTAAAATTACCTGTAAAATCTAAGAATTTCCTGGACTTTGGGAAGGTTACAAACCTCTTAATACTTCAGCTTTGAAAATGGGGACAAATCTAAATGTCACTCTTAATCACATGACTGTTGTGAAACATGATTTAATCTTTTATATTAAAATCTGTACAGCAAACTGAACTGTAAGAATGAAATGAAACAGTGATTTCTTAAAGTGCCTAGTAAACATTTTATAAATCTGAGTACATCTTTTGAGGAAAGGTTTTACAAACTTAAAAAGAGAGCAAGAGCTAGATTTCAAGCCCTAAATTATATGTTACTCAAAACCAACCTCAACTGTTTACTTAAAAAGGACAAGGAAATGGAGGAAAGTATATACAATGGGCTTCAGGCTTTTTTAAAATTATAAGATATTTTCATAAAAATTTTAGATTATATGTAGATGACTGTGATTTTCCTTTTATATCCAAAAATAATATAAGAAGAGAGGTTAGGTAGAACTCTTGAAGTCATTGGTGTAGGAAAAGATTTTATGAATAAAACCTCAGTTGCCCGTGAACTAGCACAAACAATCAACAAGGGGGATAAACAAAGCTTCTGCACAGCGAGAGAAACCACCAGTAGTGTGAAGAGATAACCCACAATGTGGGAAAAAATTTTCACCAGCAGTCCCTCAGACAAAGCTCTACTATCTCGAATCTATAAAGAACTTAAACAAATCAGATCTCCCAAATTTAAAGACCCAATCCAAAAATGGGCAACTGAAATGAACAGACATTTCTCACACAAAGAAGTAGAAATGGCAAATAAACATATGAAAAACTGTTCAACATCACTGGTCATTCAAGAGACGCAAATGAAAACAACACTGAGATTCCACCTCACTCCAGAAAGAATGGCTGCTATCATGAAATTAACCAATAACAAATGCTGGCAGGGCTGTGGGGAAAGAGGAACCCTGCTCCACTGCTGGTGGGAGTGTAGACTGGTGCAAGCACTGTGGAAATCAGTATGGAGATACCTCAAAGAACTAAGACTGGAAGTCCCATTTGACACAGCTATTCCCCTGCTGGGTATCTTCCCCAAAGAATTAAAAGAATCATACCACAGTGATATATGTGCACCCATGTACATAGCAGCTCAGTTTGTAATAACTAAAACTTGGAAGCAGCCCAAATGCCCATCAATTGGAGACTGGATCAAGAAAATGTGGTTTTTTAAATAAAATGGAGTACTACTCAGACATAAAAAATGAGAAATTAGAGACATTTATTGCTAAATGGATGCACATTGAGGCAATACTCTTAAGTGAAATAAATAGGACACACGTGTGTAAATACCAAATAGTTTCTCTAGTGTGAGAAAATGAGAGTGTAAATAAGGAATAAAAGGTATAATAGATAATGCAAAATAGGAAGAAAAGGGGCAAAGGGTAAGGGGGAGTGGGAGGGGTAGGGAAAGGGAAGAAGGGAATGGAATATGAGAAAATTAAAGAATGGAAACAAAGTCTTTATAAATAGGGAGGGATGGAGGGGTTGAAGGAAGGGCAAGGGAAGGGGGAAAAATAAGAACCAAGAGAGATTACGTAAAGGTATAAATTTCCAATGATGAATGTCATTATACTGTATACCCAAAATGTACCAGTAAAAGGATATACAGTTAAAAAAATAATAATAATTTAAGAAATAGGTATGTATGATGGAACTGAAATTAATTGAGAATTACAAAACAAGTTGCTTCCAAAGTTTAAAAAAAAATTTAAATGAGTTTTTATAACTCACAAAATAATTAAAAGGTATTAAGATATTCTAGGGAGATAACAAATTAATTATCAAAATATAAGAATAGAAAAACTTGTTTTAGAGATCCTTTTTTAACTCCAAATAGTTTCTGTCACACTTGTCTAAAAGTGAATCTCTATCATGTTACTATTTATAAACTGTTGGGAAATAAAAGTTGACCTTTTTATATCTAAATATGTATAAGCTGTACTATAAGCAGATTATATCAGATCTTTGCTGCTGACTACAGAAGTTTTCAAGTTGTTTAATACATTTATATATGAGTTTTACTCAAGATTTTATATTTAAGTAACACAGTCATTGAAGCTATTAAAAATAATTTACCTTTCAAAGCAGGTACGTAATCTTCCTTCTTTTTAATGATCAGCTGGTATTGAGCTATGGCCTCCTTATACTTGCCTAGGATTTGCTGTATTGCTGCAACCTTAAACACACTGTATATGGACTCTGGGTTCAGCTCACTGGCTCTTGTGAAGGACTTCAAGGCTGTTGTGTAGCCACCTCTGCTTAAGTATGCCTCTCCTAATGACTCCCAACAATTGAAATCCTTTGGGTCTGCCCTCAGTGCTGCCTGTAAACTAAAATTTTAAGAAATGATAAGGGAACTAAAAATAATAGAACCATGTTCACACCTGAAAAGAAAATATGAAAACATTCCAGCACATATATGTAGACTTCTTATATTTATAAAAGTGCTACTTAAAGCAGGTATACTGCTTATGATCTGAATTTTAATACTACAATGTTTTATTAAAATTTCAGAATGAATAAGAACAAAATACATTTTTGGAAAAGTGCTACCAGAATTTCTTTTTCTTGATTATCTGGAAGAACTCGTTTTCTACCTTACCAGGATAGGTAGACATCTCAGTTTGCCTCATCGGTCCATAAACCCCACTACCAACCCTTCTACTAAATGGAAATATCCCATTTGAAATACAGGAATAAGAGGCATGATTTACATGTCTGATCAAATTCAATTTTTATGAAAAATTTCAAAATGCCTAGACATTAGCATAAATCAGAAATGACTTCATCTTGATTCAATTATATTTTGTTTACCCTGACATACAGTTCACACAAAATGAGTAAAATTAATCATATATGAGCTGCTCCACTTGATCTTAGCCAAAAGACCAAAAAGCAATGTATGAGCTGCTCCAAATGCTCTTCAAGAAGCCAAATGTCTCCCTTGCCAAAAACAATGAATGTCTGTGGAAGAACAAGAAAAATTTTTACCTCAGCTTTTTTCATCACTACTGGAATCTCTGGTGAGGCTCAACCAACTGCAGGTGTGACAGTAGTAAGACTTGATTTCACTAGGCCTTCTATCTCCTTAACAACAGGGTATCGATTTTTCAATTCTGCCTTATAAATCAGCACTAACTAACTTTAAAAATGTGCTATTTCTTCCCTTAAAAAGCCACCAGGTAAGGCAAGTTTCAAGGTTATTTGGGGCATAAATGAAATCTATTTTAAGGAACATGATGCTGCCCAAATAGAAACATAATCAGGGGCCTTACTCGGCCACTGCTTGAGAATGCTGACCGGCCTTCAGGTAGTACAATCCTCGTCTAAGCCAGGCCCACTTGGCCGCTCCAGCACTTGCCTTCTGAGTCACTGTAGTTAAGACAGCTAAGGCGGATTCCTTGTAAGAAAATTGGTATTAGAGATACTGAATATCATAAAACAATAGATCATCAATATAAAGGAAGCAAACATTTTCATTTCCCACTTCTGATTTTTTTTCAAACTTAGGCTGGTATATATCCAACCAGTTTCAACAGTAAGTGATGAGCAATTTAATATCTGCCAATGGAAAAAGAAATTAACCTATTTATAAATGGTGGTAAAAACATGTCTGTTGCATCTACAAATAAATATAAAAACTAATGATAACTTTCAAGAATATGAATTTGTATAAAAGTATTTCTATTTATATACTTGGGATAAACAAAAATGCCAAATAGTTATTAGGTGTACCGTATCTTCAAGTTCCACACTTAGGTCAACTGCTGCAGCTCCAGATTCAGTGTCAGTGTCATCCAATTCAAAAGCCTTCCTGTAGCATCCACGGGCTCTGCTTTTATCTTCCGCTACATCTCTGTAGTAATGACCTAAATAGCAGAAAACTTTGCCCATGTACGTATCCAGTCTTGCAGCCTTTGAAATAAATATTAACAGCAGAAAATAAAAGTTCTTTTGGATGAGTATCTTTAAAAACACAAAAGAAATACAGTACACAGATTAAGGAAGAAAAATAACAATTTTATTAAATATACAAAAAATGTCAAAATTTCCTTTAATGTAAAATTTAAAACATAAAAGCTGGCTCTTACTGGTTATGGAAAGTGAACTGAAGTGTAAAACTGTGACTTTTCTGGTAAAAGAAATGTGAAATTAGAGTGAGTTATGGTTAAATAAATCTGCTCTTATAAGAATGAAGACTTTAAAATGTTAAACTTCTTAAAAGGCAAGAAGTAAAACATCTACTTTCATGTACCTATAAAACTATAGTGGAAATAACCTAGAAACAATAATGTTTTCCAGAGATAATTTTGTTCATTTTCTATAATAACACATTCTGGAAAAGTAACTTTTACACTTTCATGGTTTAATTTTCTCCTTGAAAAACTAAATAACATTCTCAATAAAACCTGTACATGAGAAATGATACATAAAAAATAAATTCAGTAAAGAGTAGTTTTAAACATCAAACTTATATGATTCCTATTTATTTTATAATAAATCCAGTTCACCTACGAACTGAATAGCAGCATTTGTTTTACCTTCAGAAAGTGGGTAAGAGCTTTTGTTTTATCTTTTCTTGTTTCTTCACCCATGAACCAGTATGTTAACCCAAGCTGATAATGATATTCAGCAACATCAGCATCTTTCTCAATTGCTCTCTGGAAACTAAGTCACGCAAGGGGAGTAAAAAAGAATGTTAAAATAAAATTTAAAATATATATATACAAATATATCTAAAATATAGGAGACTCCTAGTTGGAACTATCAAATGTTGAGTGATTCAAGGATATCAAATTAGAAATGTCATTACTTTAGGATTTAGACTATAACGAGAAAAAAAAAGATTTGTTTTTTAAGAAGTGCTTAAAGGCCTTTCAGCACGACCATGTGCTAACTGTTCACAGCATGTGCCAAACACTATAGGTACTTACTGAACACTATGATCAGCTAATTTGATTCTAGATCCTTCAGTGAATTTTTTATAGTTAACTGTGTAACAAGTGAAATACCTTTCCTAAAAAACTGACTTAAAAGCCTTCAAAGACGAATTTTATACAAAACTGGATCTTTCTCAAGGCCAGCTCATCAAGCTCATGTTGAATTTTTGAGGAATACAATAAACTCGGATGTGACCAGATTTTTGAGCAACCTATATATCCTTACCATTTTTCTGCTTGTAGATAGTCCTTTTTGGTAAGATGAATCAATGCCTCGAGGGCATGAGCTGCAGCTAGGTTGGGGTGAGACAAGAGAAGGTCTTCCATAATCTATAAAGTAGATACTTGTCAATTCTACAGCCACATAAAAATGATTTTTAACTGTTAAAAAATGCATGCTTTAAGTTTAAAAAAAAAACAAACCAACCTTTGTAGCATCATCTAATGAGCCTTTATTCAGATAGGCCAAGCTTTGGAGAACCAAAAGTCCTGGGACATTATTTGCATCTGAAACCTAGAAAATAATTGGAAGTGCTTTTATAGTCTCTTTGTTTCGTAGCATGACAAGATGTTCTGTGCTCATTTCACACATTTCCTGCCTCAGACCTGGACTCTTCTAGTTCTTTAAGAAGCTTTGCATTTCGTTTTTTTGTAAGAAAATTATTGAAAAGATTTCTATAAAGTATCACACAAAACATATCATTGGAAAAAGGCAAGTAGAAAATAAAATTTAGTTCTTAAAGTATTCCAACAACTGCTATAACTTTAAAGAAATATGAAATTATGAATATTATAAAATGCAAAACACAATATATTTCAAAGAGCCCTTTAAAATATAGAAAAACAATGATTTGGAAAAACTCAAAAACCCTCCAAAGCACTAAGTGATATAATGTTAATCTTACACAAAAAAAATAACTTTTATTTGACAAAACTCTTTAAGGTACAATGTTGCTATAATTAATAATTTACCTGTTCTCTTTTTTCACTAATTTTCAAATGGTTTGAACCAAAAAAAAACTAGTTAAGAAGTCAATTTCCTCAAAAACCAATCTTTCTTTGAAGCAATATTCTCTACTATGAAGCTACTAGATACTCAATTAATCAATAATTAATCAATAATCTGTAAAACATTTATGGAGGAAAATATCTGGAATTCCAAATAGTAGTCAAGAAGTAATAACCTAAGAGGACAAAATGAAGAAGAAAAAATAAGACTAAAACTAAAGAAAGAAATTGGCTCATGTAAATACTTAACTGAGAGGCAAACAAATAACTTTAAGAGTTTCCAAGTATGAGAACGATTAATCCAAGAACAGATATTGTGAATTCATACCCTAACTGAAAATCTGTATAAGTAAATATGTGGTGGGGAGAGATGATTTTTACTTCGTTAGATGGAAATTAATTAAAGGAAAAACCTGATAAAAAGACTACCTGATCAAGAATACGAATTGCTTCCTCTGAAGATTCAGAATCTGAGAGTTTAATTAAAGCCTCTGCTTTCAAGCAAAGACAAGAATTCTTCTGCTGAAGACTGCCACCAGGCACACCAGGATTATCTATGTTCTTCAGAGCTGGCAAAATTAAGGACATCTGAGTGAAATAATCACTACATTCTTTTCATTTTTAAGGATGAAATAAACAGCAGATACAGTAAGTATAAATTTCTAAAATAATATACATGAAAAATAATTCAAAGGTAATTCAAATTCTTCTCTGAACTTCTTAAAGATCTAAATTTAAAACAGAAGATGTGTGAATTTTAATCTACTTCACAATGACATAATAAAACTGAAGATCCTGAAACACAATGATTATCTATATCTGCTGCCTAATAAAGGTGAGCTCTTACTTTAGCTAATTACCTGTGACATAGGAAATTAAGAATACTGGAAGGGGAAAGAAGTTGAATTAGAATGGGCTTGGGTAAACATTTTTCAGTTACAGATGCCAAGTGATAAGCTGGATCAGGAGCAGAGAACTGTTCAAATAGGCTCCAAGATGCCTAAGACTTTATCTCCTTTATCTCTCTCAGAGACATGAAGAATTCATGGAAGTCCTGGGCACCCCAGAAACTTTCTTGTTACAAAGGTGGACCACCACCCTCCAACCCCAAAATGGTGATATCAGTATTCAAATGTGGGAAAGCTTTGATAAACACTCACTGCTACTTTAAAAATAAAACATACTAATATGTATGTGTGCAGATTTGGTATTTATTTAACCTCCTCGCATAGCAATTTAAAATGCAAAACAAAGCATGCAAGTTTTTTTTTAACATTAACTTTCTCCTTTAAGATAAAAATAAATGCTGTTGGCCATCCTTATGTGTAAACCCCAACCTAACAAAAAAAAAAAATACCTTGATTGCATGAAAGAACAGCTTCCTTAGGTCTATGCATTTTGACTTGCACTTCTGCCAGATGATACCATCCGTTTGTGCAGAGAGGGCTTTCCTTTAACCCTGAAAGGATAAAAACAATCTCAAAACTCAAGGTTTCCTTGACTTCTTAGAGGAATGGCATCACTAGCCACTCTCCAGATCTGGCCCTTCCCCGCTGCTCATGTCTCTCATGCAGTCGGTCACAAAGCTACACTGATTGTGTCCCAACTCGTTTCTCTCCATGCTTCTCCATCTCTACCAGCACCCTTCGGTTCAGCTCTCCACCATTTTGTCCCAGAACACTGCACGTGCCTGCCACCCTGTGTACCACAGTACTTCCAAAAGGGAGGGGAGACAATGAAAACAGAACTAAAATATGTACATGTACCAACTCCACCCAAGAAATATAATCATTATGTAATGAAAACATGTTCTAATAAAGAAATAAGTAAATAAAAACTGAAAAAAAAAGACAAATCCAATAATGAGATGCCATTCCTTAAAGCCTCACTGATAGCCCACTGCCCTCAGGATAATGCACAAACGCTTTACCATGGTTTGCAAGGCCTTCCTCCAATCTCACTTCCTGTGCCACCCTGATCCTTACTGCATTCTCAAATCTTGTAAACTACCCACAGATCTCTGAATGACAATCTTCTTCTTACCTCAGGCTATTTCACAGATTTATCTCTCATCCTAAAATGTTCCTTCCATTCCCTTCATCCACTTGCCTGGTTTGTACTTGTCAGGGATCTCCCAGTTTGAATAGAGATTCATCTAAAAATACTGTACCTCAGTTAAGCCTTTGTAAGGCTTTCTAAAATTATCCCTATTTTTCAAATGAAAACACTGAGACATAGAATGCTTAATTAACTTTTCCAAAGTCTTGAAATCAGTGAGTGGAAGAGTTAGAATTCAAACCTAAGCAAACTCCAGGTACGTGGGTATATTTTTTTCCCTACCACCTTAGAAACTTCCTTAGAGAGAGACTCCGAGATTAGAGCTTACTCAGTTACAATGACACCACATGTCACATGCCATAGGCTGTACATTTACCTTCTGTTAGGTTCCTGACAGCTTCTTCATACTTTTTGTCTTGTAATGCTTTAATGCCTATGCCAATCAGGCCTGGGCCACTTTTTGAATTCATCTCTACTAGTTTATAAAAATACTGCTGTCCCTCATCAGTAACATATCCTGAAATGAAGAGAAAAAATTAGCATATGTATATCAGTTTTGTAAATGCCAAAACCTATACAATCAAGTCTCAAAAGCTGCTTTATACCTCCTTCACCATATCCTGATTCCAGGAATTCAAAACTTAAATAAACCAGCAAATACAGAAAATACCAACATTTCATAAAGAAACCTACCCTCTTTGTGTCTTCTTAAATATTAGAAGTAGGAACCGCTTTATTCATAGACTGCGCACCTGAGGTCATCCTCAAGAAACCTGTTGCTGCTAGTCAGTAGGCTAAGTCACAAAGACCATCTCACAGACCTGGCTGGCCAGGTCTCTTCTATGCAGCAGTAACAATTGTAGTTGTTACACGGAGGAAAAACTGACAGTGGAGGGACATCTGCATCGATCGCTCTCTGAGGGCAACAATGCCTGGTAGACACATGCAGTCCGATGCGGTAGCTTTTCTTCATTCTAGGCTCAAAGATGGTGGGCTACTCACGAAACACAGTCACAGTCTCCTAAATTTACAAGTTCAGCAACACACGTCTATATTTTTCTAAAACTATATTTTTCTATATAATAATTAAGTTTATGTAATAGTCTCCTAACGTCTGTTTAGGTTTATTTTCTAATTTATTTTGGTAAAATAGTTTAGAAAATATTATAGACTTATCTCCATTTTCTCCAGCCTCAATTAATTTTAGGATTCCTATTTCCATAAAAGCATACACACAAATGAAAATGGTCATTTCTGTTTTTAGAATTAATGGTGCATAGCATTTGCCTTTTTTTTTTTGTACTGGGGATCGAACTCAGGACCTTGCGTTTTCAAGGCAGGCAGCGGAACCACTGAGCTAAATCCCCAGACCCATAGCTTTTGCCATTTTAATAAACTGTTTAACCACACAGAAAAATTCTTAAAAAGAAATTAAGATAGATTACAGCTTAAAGAATAAGTGTGGGGAATAAATAAGAAACAATTTATTTGAAACCAGGTATGGCGGCACATGCCTGTCTGTAATCCCTCCACTCAGGAGGCTGAGGCAGGAGGACTGGCACAAGTTCAAGATCAGCTTGGGGTACAAAGTGAATTTAAGGCTAGCCTGAACTATATCTTGACACTCTGTCTCAAAAAACAAACAAAGAAACAAAACAATTTATTTTAAAAAAAAGATCTTATGCTTTAATATCTACGTGAAGCATCTGCCCCTAAGCCACATGGGGAACTACCTTTTCAGTCACCAGTATCAAAGGTAAATTCCTCGCATAATATCAGTTAGCTTATATATTTCAAATTTTTCAAAACCAAATGCACACAAATGTAAAACCCATAAGTAATATATTATATACTGATTTAGAATTCATAATGCCTAGAGCATTAATACTGTTTAGTAAAATATGAAAAAATTGAAAAAAATACAATTAGTAAGCCAGTGACAGAGACACAAAGCTAGTTAATGCTTTCACACACCAATTTCCTTCTGTCAAAATGTTCTCATCACTGCTTCCATAAGTATGAATTTCAAGAACAGATACGCCCGCCCCATGCCCTCTGTATCCTCCTGAGCAAAACAGTGACATTTCCCCTTTCCACCCAGGAGTAGTGTCCAAACCAGACACTGTCTACACGAGGAATCAGAATCACCAGAGGGACTTTTAAAATATGCTGTGATGAGCCTCACTCCTAATGTTTCTGATTCAGGAGGTCTGGTATAAGACTTGAGAATTTGCATTTCTAACAATTTCTCAAGTAATGTTGATGCTACTGGTCCAGAGATTACACTTTAAAACCACAGAAAATTACAGTAATTGCTAATATATGATCTTTATTGTTAGTCTTATAACGATATATCTACCCTGCCTTTGTTTCCTCTGTACTAAATGTTAACTTCTGGAGAATAGAAACTAGCAAAATAACTTACACATGGTAGGCGTAATTAAACATGATGATCTTTTTTTTTTTAACATGATGATCTTCTAAAAAGATCATCATGAACTAGTACTCAAAAAGGTCTGTTATTAGGTAATGGTTGAGGATTACTATAAAAATTCAAAATTTTCACTATCCTAAAAATAAGAAAAAATGGCTATAAAGGATTTACCTTCAATTTCTACTCATCTGAGTCAAAGCTCTCTTCCTCCAGAGAAACACAACTGCAGCAGACAGACTACGTTGGCAACATAAGCTTCCTTTATTACAAAAAACACACCAGGGATAAGAAGAGGAAAACCAATCACGCATCCCTCCAATGACCACCCATATTTAAGGTGCTCCAAACTGCAGGTAGGAAAAAGAAAAGTGTGGCAGTATCCAAAAGGCTGAGATGAACAGGAGCAACTTTTAAAACAAAGTAAACCTCCTTAATGTATTCCCTCTGCTAATACCTGGAAGCACAATTACAGAAACAAAGTAGGATTTGGGGAGACTCTGTTCATGTTTATCTGTAGGTAACATATTCTCTACATACGTCAAGTTGGCACTGAGAAGAATTATTTATAATGTTGCCAAAAATAACAACAGTAATAACACCACCAAGCCTATGTGAAAAGACAAGAAATAGCCCACCTTCAACCCCAGTCCTCTTCATACTAATTACTGTTGAGATTGGCTTAATAAATATCTGTGCAGAATAAAAACAGAGATGAAACAGACATCTTCGCTTTTGAATAGAAAGTCATTTATGCTCTTTTTAGCACTTACAGGACTCTCATTCCAGGCTGAATGACATTTTTTTTCTTTATGGTGCTAAGGATGGGAATGAGGGCCTTGTGCGTGCGAGGCAAGCGCTCTACCACTGGGCCACATTCATAGCCCTGCAGACTTAATGACTTTCAAACAGTTTGACTCTACTATTTTTACTTCTTAAAAAGACAAGCCAAACTTGGAGCTGATGAATGCTAAAACTCCAAGGGTAAAAAAAGGGTACTCTGAAAGTTGGAAGCTAAGAAATACCTATGGAATCCTGTTTCCTAAAGTTTACTCCTGTTTTCAAAATCATTTTAGACATACCAAAGAATCTAAACAATACTATAGAATTTTTATTTTTAAATAAACCTAGTTTAGGAGGAAGAAAACGTACAATTTGAAGACATTCATTTCTTTCTTTTCATCTGAATTTTCTAATATTTTTAGAGCACAAAATCTTAAAGAAGCTCTTTTCTGCTTGAATTTGAAGAAACAAGCATTGTATCCGCCCCCATTTCAGAAACAAAGAAAAATAAATCAAAAAGGTCATTTGACATGAAAAAAACATTTCAACAGATGACAACTGTCAAAGCTATTTACCGCTTGTCATTTGAAGCTTTACAAACTGAGTCATTTTGAAGATGAATCGTCAAGTCTCAACATGCAGAGCAAGACAAAGGAGAATGAAATATATTTGTCCTCAGTGGAATAGAACTCAGTGATTAACTGCTGTGAGTAACAAAGTCTGCTGACTTTAAAGACCTTAGAGATTTTCAGAAGCTCTTAGTTTTCAGAAAAATACAGAAAGTTTGGTTTAGAGGAGCAAAGAAATCAAAGTATAGCTTCCTATTATCCTGCAGTATTAAACTTTTGCCCCCAGAATAACACTTTACCTTGGGATGTACTGAATCCTGAAGTGCTTGATTCCATGAATTCTTTTTTTGTAATTAATTTTACTGGCACATTTTAGGTATACAATATAATGACATTCATCATTGGAAATTTGCACCTTTACATAATCGCTCTTGGTTCTTATTTTTCCCCCTTCCCCTGCCATCCCTTCAACCCCTCCATCCCTCCCTATTTACAAAGACTTTGTTTCCATGTTTTCATTTTCTCATATTAATTCCATTCCCTTCTATCCTTTCCCCTACCCCTCCCACTTTCCCTTCCCCTTTGCCCCTTTTCTTCCTATTTCACATTATCTATTATCTTTCAGTCCTATTTACACTGTCAGTTTCTCATACTAGAGAAACTATTCAGTATTTACACATGCGTGTTCTATTTCTTTCACTTAAGAGTATCACCTCAATGTGCATCCATTTAGCAATAAATGTCTCTAATTTCTCATTTTTAATGGCTGAGTAGTACTCCATTTTATAAAAAAACCACATTTTCTTGATCCAGTCTCCAATTGATGGGCATTTGGGCTGTTTCCAAGTTTTACAAGCACAATTACAAACTGTGCTGCTATGAACATGGGTGCACATATATCACTGTGCTATGATTCTTTTAATTCTTTTGGGAAAATATCCAGTAGGGAAATAGCTGGGTCAAATGGGACTTCCAGTCCTAGTTCTTTGAGGTTTCTCCATACTGATTTCCACAGTGCTTGCACCAGTCTACACTCCCACCAGCAGAGGAGTCGGGTTCCTCTTTCCCCATAGTCCCACCAGCATTTGTTATTGGCTGATTTCTTGATAGCAGCCATTCTTTCTGGAGTGAGGTGGAATCTCAGCGTTTTTTTCATTTGCATCTCTCCAATGACCAGTGATGTTGAATGTTTTTTCATATGTTTATTTGCTCTTTCTACTTCTTTGTCTGAGAAATATCTGTTCATTTCAGATGCCCATTTTTGGATTGGCTCTTTAAATTTGGGAGGTCTGATTTTTTTTAAGTTCTTTATAGATTCAAGATAGATCTTTGTCTGAGGAACAGCTGGTAAAAATTTTTTCCCACATTGTGGGTTGTCTCTTCACGCGGTTGGTGGTTTCTCTTGCTGTGCAGAAGCTTTTTAATAAGAAGAGATCCCACTTGTTGTTTGTGCTAGCTCACATGCAACTGAGGCTCTGTTCATGAAATCTTTTCCTATGCCAATGTCTTTAAGTGTTCTACCTAACCTCTGTTCCAGCTGGTTCAGCGTTTTCTGTTTTAATATTTAGATCTTTAATCCATTTCAATTTTAGCTTAGTGAGTGGTGAGAGATATAGGTCTAGTTTTAATATTTGGCAAGTTGAAACCCAATTTTTCCAGCACCATTTATTAAAGAGGCTTTCTTTCCTCCAGTGAGGGTGTTTGGCTCCTTTGTCAAAGATGAGGTGGCTGAGTGTGTCTGGAGTTGTTTCTGCATCTTCTAATCTGTTCCACTAGTCCTCAGGTCTGTTTCTTTGTCAGCACCATGCTGTTTTTATCACAGTAGCTTCATAGTATAGTTTCAAGTTGGGGGTTGTAATATCCCCTGACATGTCTCTGTTGCCTAGAATTGCTTTTGCTCTTCTAGGTCTCTTCTTGTTCCAAATGAATTTTTGGATTGTTTTCTCAAGGTCCATGAAGTATGCTGCTGGAATTTCAACTGGGATTGCATTGAATCTATATAGCAGTTTTGGGAATGTGGCCATTTTCTCTATGTTGGTTCTTCCAACCCAGGAGCAAAGGATGTCTTTCCATTTTCTGATATCATCTTCAATCTCTTTTTTTAGAGAGAGGTCTTTTTTAGTTTTCCGAGTAGAGGTCTTTGATTTCTTTCATTAGGTTGATTCCTAGGTATTTCAGTTTGGATGCTATTCTGAACATAGATGCAAAAATCCTTAATAAGATGCTGGTAAATAGAATGCAGAAGATCATCAAGAAGGTCATACACCCTGACCAAGTGGGATTCATCCCAGGGATCCAGGGATGGTTCAATATCCACAAATCAATCAATGTAATACACTATATATTAATAGAGCCAAGGACAAAAACCATATGATCATCTCAATAGATGCAGAAAAAGCATTCGACAAAATCCAACATGGATTTATGATAAGAACCCTACAAAAAAGTGGAATAGATGGTCTCTACCTCAATCTGATAAAAGCTATCTATAAAAAACCAACAGCCAATATCATACTAAATGGTCAAAAACTGAAACCCTTCACACTAAAATCAGGAACAACACAAGGATGTCCACTATCACCACTCCTGTTCAGTACAGTTTTGGAAACATTAGCCACGGCAATTAGACAAAAGAAAATAAAAGGAATAAAGATAGGAAACGAAGAAGTTAAATTGCGACTATTTGCAGACGACATGATACTCTATATAGAAGACCCCAAGAACTCCACCAAAAGTCTTCTAGACTTAATAAATCAAATTTTATCAAATTCAGTGAAGTAGCTGGATACAAGGTCAACACACAAAAATCAATAGCTTTCCTCTACACGAACAACAGACTCACCGGGAGAGAAATGGGGCAATCAATTCCTTTCACAACAGCATTGATTCTATGAATTCTTACAACCAACAGTTCAGCAGGGAAAGAGCTTTTCCTTGGTTCTACCATATGTGTAAATATCCACTCGTCCACTCCACTTTGAATAATATAGACATCCTTTTCTTTTAATTCTGCAACCCCCAAACCCTCAAGAAATTTTTTTACTTCATACACTTACTATTCAATCAGCACAATCCTTTCACTATGGCTTTACTGGAGCAGCTTTTTCAATGACTGAATTTATGTGCAAAACTCTGTTAGACCATCTGTTGATTCCTTTTATTCTATTATTTTGTAGGCTTTTTGGAATATAAGGGTCATATTTGCTTTAACAAATCCACACTATAGGCACATTTATGCTTATAGAGAAAGCATTTCATCCGTCTTCAAAAAGAAATTTCCTAAGTATTCACTTATACCAGTTGGCGTGTAAGCAAGACTGAGGGAATGACATAAACACTAACAGCTGACCAACACTGCAACACTGGAGAGTAATGAGTGATCACCAGCATTAATTTCTCAATAGCAACTATAATAACAGAAAAAGGAGTGAAGAAATGGATACGGGGGGGCCACACAGTAAAGAAAATCTCTTCACTTATCTTTAGAATACACTAGGTCTTTCTGCTAAAATGTAAAGAAATTAGGTGATTTTGGAATTAAGCTTCCAACCAGAAGAAAAAAACACAAAAACCCTACCCATGCGCTTATGCTCATGGTCTCTTACTGTACCTCCTCATCCTTGGCTTGAACCTTAGAAGGTTCAGTAGCCCCTTCCTTTTGAAATGCTCCTGCAGGTGACCCACTGCATTCTCAAACCTCTCTAAAAGCTTCCTGTCCCCTTCACAGGCTTCACTTCTTCCTCCTCTCCCTTGAATGAATCAATTAAGTTCCTGAGTTGCTTTTTTCTTCGACCTGCTAACTACGTCTTCTTCTTTTGCCACCATTATAATCTAAGTTCCAATTCAGTGAGTATGATTTTAAAGGATAACTGTAATAGTTAGGCATCTTAGTCATAAAGTCAGCGGCGCAGCCATTGTGACCGACCATAATAATCTCCTTTCTGAAATGCCCCTTTCTTGTCTTCAGCGATGCTGCCCTTCAGCGGCCCCCTCCTCCTCTTTGACCTCTGTTCTCGGTCTTGCTTTCTCCTCCTTCTCTCCCCCCTCCCTTTCCTTTCAAGCCAGCTTGCACTGCCCAAAGCACAGTTCTCAGCCTTTTGCCCCTGCTCTCCGATGTGATCTCCTCCACTCCACCTTCACTCACATGCAGATAATTCATAAGCTGCATGTCCAGCTTTATCTCTTATCTCCAGACAACGATGGCCTTTCCTTCCCCTTAACAGCTCCTCTCAAGCACCCACTCACCTTTCACACAAACCATTATTCCATACTAGGTTAACTTTTCAAATCAGAAAGTTAAAAGTGATTTTTCCCTTTTAGCTCCCCAAAAATCACTTTCATTTTTCCATTCCTTTGTTCCTGTCTATCATGACTGTCATACTCCTAGCACATTCATTCCTAGTATCACTTAGGTCTACTCCCTTTCCTCCTGCACGCCTTGTTAATTTTCTCACACTTCATAAATTAACTCATTTTCAATGTTTTCTAATGTTAGTAAAAAATGTTCTTGAAAGTCTAAGTTTGACTCAAAGTAAGAAAAAGAAGACCTGGTTACTACTTAGTGAAAAATCCAAGACTGAAGGTAACAACATTGGTTTGTGTGTGCCCAAAGACTACTGCTTAACGCATTTACTTTCATGTCCAGAAAAAGTGAAACAATATCTTACAACTGATAAGCACTAAGACATTTTCTGATTGATAGCAAATCACTCCCACACAATCACATACCCCTAGGACACGCAATGTAATGAAGAAGAAATTACCTGACTCAATTAGATGCAAACAGAGCACTTCTAATGGATACTGTACAGTGGGATAGATGTTTATCATTCCTTCACAGGCCTTCTTCAACCTAGCAGCCTCATGAGGAAACTTGAAAACAAAAAAGCAAAACAAACTACATTCTAATAGTAGTAAAATGCATTTGTAAACATTTTCCTAATTAGAAATATATAAAAGTCACTTTAGAGATTTAAAAAACCTACTTACTTTGGATAAACACTGAATAAAATGCCTATAAAGGAGTTGGTGATCTTCACTAGGAATCTGATCTGATAAGCCCAGTGCATTCTCAAATGCAGTCAAAAGCTGAAACAAACAATAAAGCTGTTTACACGGAATATTTAAGTGACAGTCTGAGACAGGTGAAGGTATAAGGCTCTCTTCTATAAGTTAGACCTTCAACTAGCTGGAGTGTATTCTACTGTCTGCTCTGACAATTTCAATGATAAAAAATGTATATGTAAGTTTTAAAATGCATTCTAACTCCAACTGGCTGGTCGACTGGACTGAACTAGTAAGTGATCACTTTAAATTACCAACATTAATTTTGGCTCATACTTGAGTTGATTTTCTCTGGTACTTTGTCACAACAATGGAAAGCTAACTAACACATATTACAAACACAGAAAAATCTTATTGTTATACTTTTACCCTCAGTTCTTAGGACACTGCCTGACATATACTACATTCTCAATAAAATACTGAATAAAACAGCAAATTAATGAGTGAGCAAACATTAAAAATGAGCTTTCCATTCCAGCCTACAACTACTGAGGTTTAAAAACTCCATTCAATGTAACACATGCGTACTGAGTAGCTATTTATATAATAATAAATTAGTTGACTTTTAAACTTACAAATAAAATGATAAAGACATTTTCCAATTATGGTTCAAATTGAGAACCTTTTAAAAATTCTTTTCAATTACTTGAATCTATACACTAAAAAGGAATATTATCTAGGTATAAATACCCTAATTACTAAATATAAATAATCAAGTTGAATTGTTAAGCCTCAAATAATACAGTACTCTTTGTTTATAACTATAAAGAAGCACACTTTCAAAATACAACTTTTTAGAAATTGCAGCAGCTTTGTGAAAGCCAATTTTTGCATAATTTCTTTTCTATGGTGATTAAGTTACTGAGTTATCATGGATTCTTACAAATATAAGAGAATGAAATTTTCACACCCTGAGTTCCAATTTTACTCCCTCCAGATTTAGTATGAGACTGCAGGCCAATAATTCTAACTTTGTCAGAAAGACCCTCTAAGAATTTAAAATTATACACTTACAAAATAACTAGTATGACATAAAATACTTTCCTATATTATTTCACTATGTTTCCATTTTCTGAATTCAATGAAATGATCAATTTTCACAACACAAACTGTGAGGAAGAAACAAGTCAATACCAATTGCTGAGTTTCATTATTCTGATACTCTGTACTCTCTGCCAGCAACTGAGTCAATTTCCTCCAGAGCTGGTGAAGTTCTTGGTCGTCTGCACCTTCTTCCTGCCTTGTCTTAATCAATCTGTGCCATGTTCGAGCCACCTGATGAAAAGAAGACTTAAAATGGTTACTGAATATTAAACACTAGTAAAAATTAAAAATGGCACTAAAAAATGTAAAATCTAAAAATAAGAATATTCTCATCTACTAATATGTCAAATAGCATAAGCATAAAATCCCATCTATTAAGAACTCCATAAAAAGTAAGCTGACTGGGCAAATTCAGAGCCCTTCTATCAGAAATATGACTAAGATATGACAATAGGTAACTACATTCCCCAATGCACATAACTTAGGTAGCAGCTATGAAGACACCACAAATAGGGCACTAAGTTGCACAAATGACACTTTTACTTATTTAATTTATACTCTATCCAGTTTCAAAAGGTTCAGAAGTTACAATATCTTAAATTTAAATTTCTAATTTAAGACCCCGTTCTTTATCTCCAATTTTTTTGACATCATATTACATATTAATTTCATTCACGATAAAAGGTAGCTTCCTTCTAGTAGTTTTATTATTGAAGTCTAGGGTTCTAAAAAGCCATCCACCAACCTCTAGGTGTTTCTTTTCTTGGTGATACAGATCCACAAGTTTCTTACAGACATCACACCACTTCTGTTTGTCAACACTTACACAAAAAAAAAAAAAAAAAAGGATTTTTAAATCTGATAATGAAAACAACCAAGGACTTAAAACATGAAAAATTAAAATGTCCCAAGAACATTATCAGGTATTACCAGTAGTTTTAAGTTAAAAAACATTCTCTTTCATTCTGCATAAAAGTTTGTAAAATGGGCCTCTCATAAAAAAGAAAGATTAAGAAATACAGTACTATTTTTCATTACATTGACTAAAAATAGTATCAAAATTCCCAAATTAGCCCATTCTCTTACTGGCAGTATTTTGATTCTATTTCAATCATAATCAAGAGATTCTGTGACAAAACATTTTGAAAGAAAAAATGTTTTCCCAATTCCCAGTAAATGTTTGGAGTACTTCTACTTTTAAGCAATTTTTAATCACTTTACTCTAATTCAAGCTTGTGAAGAAACTAGCTTTTCTTCATACATTTATTACCTTTCATAAAGATCCAGGAGCTTCTGGTAAACACCTGGTAAATCATCCTTAGCATTCATGTGATTACATTTCTCATACAGGCTTGCTAACCCCTAGAAGAGAAAGTAATGGTAATTATTTTTACCAAAATGTCTGATGTTCCCACATTCATTTATTTTGCTAAATTGTATCATAATCCCTAAATATTATTTACAATTAAAGATTACTATAGTTGACAGATGAAATGATATGTGTGGAACCGGCCTCCAAATAACTAGACGTAGGAGTGAGTAAATAAAAAGTACAGATAAAAAAATACTGTCTAAGAGTGAATTTCTCTCTTTTTTTTTTTTTTTTTGGTGCCAGGGATCGAACTCAGGACCTAGCGCTTGCGAGACAGGCGGCGGCACCACTGGGCTAAATCCCCGGCCCAGGATTTCTGTTGAATTCAAATGACTGATAGAGACATAAAGGGGTTCATTACACTTTCCTTTTTACTTTTCAAAATGCATTTAAAGTGTTTTAATGTTTTTTTACCACATGGCACTACTTTTTAAAAAAAATTCAGCATAATATGATTTTTAACAGCTTTATTGAGATATCATTGACATATAAATATTACTTACATTTAAGATGTACAGCTTGACGAGCTGACAGGTGTACACATAATAAAATGTGCACCAGAGTCAAACTAATTAATACAGCCTTTCCCTCTACACAGTCACTATTGTCTTTAGTTGCCGTTCTTGTGTGTATACTTTAAGTAAAGACCATATATCTTCAACCCACCAGTAAATTACAAAAGTAGGTATTTATCAAGTGTGCACCAGATATCCTCACTCAAGTTCTTATTCATGTGAACCTGAGACGAATATGTTCACACATGCCAGAATTCATACCTCCTAATTATACATTGTTTCAAAGATGTGACTGACATATGAAACACATTAAATTTCTTAAACATTAAAAAGCTAGAGAATCCAAAGAAAAAACATTAAGACCAATAAGTAAGAAAAGTATTTCATTTGTACTCAGAAAATTGAAATATTTTATATACTATTTTATTCTTAGAAAACATACGAATATATATTTCTTTTTATCATAGGTAAGCAAAAATAATATTCTGGAAAATTCTTTTATATGCACATATAATTAAATAGGGGATTTATAACCATATTTCAATTTGATTCCGCACATCTAGAAATAATCCACTGAGTTGAACCATTAAACAGCAACATCATCTTTGGTGCCACTTTTTTAAAAAACTAATTAGAATTAGAAAAATCAATGATTTTTTTCTTATTTGAGTCAAATGGAGATTTAAATGGTTATTTTAATACTGTAATCTATATTTTGAAAAGTGAAAAAAAAAGCCTTTCCATGCTATAGAGAATAAAGTGTGTCTCCATACCTGCCAAGCTAGTAACTGGTCTGGATCTAGTTCCACAGCTTTCTTATAGGCACCCTGGGCTTGATCGGGTTGTTCTAGCTCAGCTGCAGCAACACCAATAAAAACCCAGGCATTGTAGTTATTTTTCTCTTGTTTTAACACTGTCTGATTAAAAAAAATTAAGAGCAAGTGATTAAATTTTGGAAATTACTGAACGAACAACACAACAACAGTTTATTAAGAGTCAGGAAATTGGAATTTACCACTCACGAGGTAATCTTCAGAATGCTAATTTCTCTAGTTTCAGATTCCTCAGGGAGAGAAGGCACTGGATTCCACCAGTGACTGTGACTGTAAGCAGTTTGTAACATGAGATAGACAGATAGATAGATAGATAGATAGATAGATAGATAGATAGATAGATAGATAGATAGATTTTTAAAGCTACCCACTGATTCTGATCCCTTAGTCAACTATCACCTGCTGCTCTGAGATTACTGAAGAATAGTAACTGCCTTACCCACCCCTCTTGGCTCCACACTGCTACTGACCAACTTGCAAAACGGTTCTCAACCTCATTTTATTTCATCCAACTCTAATATTTCCCTTCCCCCTGATAATATTTCCCCATATTAGGCAGATGGATTTTTCATGGAAAGTATAGACTAGGGAAGTCAATTCACCCCCATAGGACTGTACCAAATATGTTCAAAATAAATAGTGGTGATGAATGTTTACATTAACACCTACTACCTAAAGCTAAAATCACATGTAAAAATACTGCTTTCAGAAACAACAGCTACTTGCTAAGGTAAAATAAAACTGCTTGAAGCAGAAAGTAAATATGTTCTAGAGAAAGATAAAATTAGAAGCTAAAATGCAATTGCCTCCTAAGGTTTTACATGTTCTGAAGAAAATAAAAACATTTCCATGAGTTGAATCAGTCAAATCATTAGGCTTAGGTGTATCCCCGTAACACTTCTACCAATCCTTCATCGATGTACTACACAAGTTCCAGTCTATCCAATAATGTTGCCTCCTAAAAACCACAACAATGAGGTAACTTTCAAAGTTAAGTTTTAAATATGAGGCCTTGTTAATACTTCTGTTCCCAACACCAAGTACAATGGCTGTTACCTACTGCTGAACAAATAATAACTGCCATACTCAACTAGCAGTCAGTAATTATTATTTCACTGATGAGCACTTTTCAGAATCTGCAACAGATTTTTAAAGCAATAATTACAACAATGTAGCAAAAACAGGTATGAGATTCTCAGAGAACCCAGAGAAAAAGTATCTAACTATCTCTGCACAAGCTGAAGAAAGTTCTCATAAAGGGCTGCTTGTACCACCTTAAGACGTCCCACAAGGAAATAAGGATCACACAAAACCACAGCAAAACGTCTTCATTAAAAAATGCATTTAGTCTCATTCAATGTTCTGGGTCACTATAGATAAGTAATCTGAAATTTGCCTCTGATTTGTTCTCTATGTTTTTTTTCTAGTTGGGTGTTTCCAGTAAAAATTACATACTTGGTGGAACTCAAATCTGAATTTTGCAGAAAACCTACAGAAAAAAAAAAAAAAAAAGACTGCTCTGGTGCTGCTGTACATAATAATGGAAACAGACGTGTATGAGCATTTTTAGTTAGACCACCCTAGCCCCGAAGGAAATGGTCTCTCTGCCTTCCCTACAGCTCCCCCCAGGCCCCCCATTTGAACAGACTGTCCGCCTTCTATGTCAGGATTAGAACTCACGGCCTCAACCCCTGCTGGCCTCTATAAACACCAAAGACCTGAACTGCACTAGGGCAGCCTTTACCCCTTACATTCTCATTCCTGTATTACCGTGTATTTCCCCTTATCCTGCCCAGTACCCCTCCACTGCTCTCCTTTGAAACTCCTGACCTGAATCAGCTGAGTCCCCTCCTTATTTTCAAGCTTTAACCATAACAGGGTCTACCTAGAAACGTGGAGATGTGCCTACTCTGCTCAAGATCTTCCCTCCTACAGCTGACTTCTTTTCTCTCACCTTCCATTTCTCTTACTTTTTATTCTTCCCTCCTTACTCAGCTTAGACTCCATGGCCCATCACTGTCATCACTCCCTTGTCATCACATACTCAGCTCTTTTGACTCCTTCCCTCATCTTCCTCATGACGCACAGCTGAACCCCATGATTTCCATCTCCAAACTGAGAAGCTGAGTATGAAGAGAGAAAACTACAGCTGGGTTCACTGGTTTCACTTTACTAACACGAAACTTCAAATGGGCACTCATCGGGGCCTAGTAGTCCTTCTAATTCTTACTAGTAAGTTTGTTTTCTTCCTATAATTAACAACTGCTTCACATTTCTTCTGTTCCACACCTCCTATGCAAGCCTTCTCCACTGTCAGTTTGTAGTCCACCAAGAGTGCTCAGAGAAGAAGGCTCTTATTTTCCCACCAGCAAACATAAATCTCACAGTGTGGATCTGCACCTATCTTTCTTCTTGCTAAGATGGAAGACGCTTAAAGGCTCTCCTGTCAAGCTCTGGATCTCATCCTGTCTTATCTTCCTGAGGACATTGCTTCTACCAGTACCCTGAATCTCTCCTGCACATACAGAATATTCCCATCGGTACATATGGAAGCTCTAGAATCCTGATTCTCCCAGCCAAAAACAAAGTGGAATTAGAATGTCAACATATTCTAACAGTTCCACTAAACGGTCTTACCAATTTTATTGAATTTGGACAGTAAATGACTCGTGTCTTACAATAATGCTTATAAATGGATAATACCCTCTTATCGTGGAAGAAACAAGAATCACTTACCTTACAATGTTTCAAAGCTTCTTTGTATTCTTTGTTTCTGATTGCATCTCTTGCACTTTTTAGAGCAGCCTTCACCTCTTTGCTGGACATTCTGTCAAGGCAAAAAGCATGAGTGAACCATTTATAATAATATCTCCCTAACATGGGTTCCAACAAACACAATCATCTGAAAAAGGCACCTGGAATCCCCCCTATCTGGAATACTCCTCCCTGGACTGCACACACAGCTTTGTTCCACATCCGTTCAGATATCCACTCCAATGTCATCTCCCTGGACACACTAGTTCAGATCTTAATCTTCCCATTCCCCTACTCTCAACTACTGCATATTCCCGTATGCTCTTCTTTTCTTTACTTTTCTTCAGAGCATTATCACATCTCATAGACCACACATGCTATGTATTTATCTCACCGTAATCTGCACCTCAACCTCACCACAATGTAAGTTCCATGTAGGCAGGATTTTTGTGGGGTTTTTTTTTTTTTGCCTTATTCTCAGGATCTAGTATCTAACAAATTATATAAGACCAATAAAAGTGTTTAAATTGGCTTGCATTTGAATTACACTTACTCTCCATATATATGGCTAAAGCAGATGATCTCTCTCTCAAGGGCCTCCCAAAATACATACTAATCTCAGTCCTATTTTATAAGCAACAACCAGTAAAAAAAAAAAAAGACAAAAACACAGTAAAACAGTAATACAAATAATTTCAGTACTATGATAGGGAGAGTTTTAAGAAGTCTAAGAAAGCACTGTTGTAATGCTAGTTTCTATAAAATATAAATCAGGCCATTAGCTGTCTTCACAGTAAGGGTTACTGTAAAATTATTACTTTCTCTAGCAAGAAATAAATGCAGTGTTTCCACTTGACTGGAAGGGTGAATATGCAAAAGAACGGTACACTAATTTCAGCTATAAAAAGGCATTTCAGTTGGTAGCTAAATTACTGCTTCATTTAGTCTTAAGCTATATTAATACAATTTTTTTAAAAACTAGTCAAGAGTTAACAACTTAACTCTGGCTTACCAGTCAGAAAGTTAAATTCAATCACAATTCGATTTTGAAAACAAGAAATATTTGTGTTTTCTGCCAACTCCATTTATCTCTAATCTCATCAAGAAGACAAAATTGACCAGATGTTCAAGTCAACAAAATAAAAAACATGGTATAATAACAGTATTTTATAACTGAAGGTATTATAAACAAAGTGATGTACAAGTTCAAAACAAATTAGTGAAGCTAGAAATTTTTTCAAAATCTTTTTGACTTAATATTAACATTGAAAATAACATAAAAATTAAGATACCATAAAATCTATGTATAGCCAGAATCGAGTTTCCCAAATAGGGGAAATTACTTTTTATGCCTATTAAAATAAATATATAATTTAAAACAACATAGTTCATACGCTCTTATCTTAGAAGCTACTACTTACCTGAAATTATGTTAGTATTACTTTATAGATGAACACCTGAAGTTTTTTTTGTAGACCACAGATCGTGATGGGAGTAGGTAATAAATTTCAATGCTGATTTCGTGTCAAATTTCATCAAACCAGTTTTCTTCAGGAAAATAACCTGCACTAAAAAGAACATCAATGTTGATAATAACTGATCTAGACGTTAAAGGAGGAAAAATTAGATGTTCAAGTAAAAACCCAAGAGTTGTCAAAGTTAAAAAAGAAAAAAATGGTTTCAAAACAATACCAAATAAAAACAAACAGCAGACTACAACCTCTCTGAGACGAAGTCACAATCTCTTCTATGATCTGGTATTTAAGTGGAAGCAAATACATACAAGGTAGAACCAATCACTAAAACCCCACGGAATCCCCAACCTATTCAATGCACATGACAAAAAAGAAGGTCCCTGCTCTGAAGAATATAAGCTAAATCAAGAGAAAGACCTAAGATACATGAATCATTAGAAGCACAATAGGAATTCAGTGAAGAAAAGTGTGTGGTGTAAATTAATTAATGGCTACTCATGGAAAAAGACAAGACTTAAGAAGGGAAAGGAACACTGTTTATGATGGTATACACCTGTAACCCCAGCACTTTGGGAGACTGAGGCAGGATGATCACAATTATGAACACAGCCTGGGCAAGTTTAGTGATTTAACAAGATCCTGTATCAAAATTTAAAACCTTTAAAGGGCTAACAGTGCAGTTCAGTGGAAAGGCCCTGGGTTCAATCCCTAGTACCATCCAAAATAAAATGAGGGGCAAAAATTTATTCCACTGAGAGACAATTGTACAGCAAAGGCTGAGAGACAGACATGAATGTGGCAAGTTAATAAACAATGAAAAAAAGGAGGCTGAAAGGTACAAAAGGGATTTCGCAGGGAAAAAACGGGAATGAGAAAATTAGGTTGGGTAAATAATGTGGAGCCTAAGATTACGAATCTTAAAAGTCAGACAAAACAGGTTGGACTTAGATAATAAGTAGGTTATTTGTAAAGACTACTAGAAACAAACTCCATTTTCTCTTGGTAACCAATTCTAGGATTCAGTATCTTTCCAGGAGATCTGGGGATGGGGGAGATGGAAGGGAGAGAAGGGAAAAGGGAAGTAAAAAGAATTAAGATGCAGTATATGTACCGATTTCCCAAGATGAATGTAACACATATATATCACACATGCTAATTAAAGAAATGAAGTCTATATTCTTCCATATTCATGTGTCTGCACTGTAATTAAATTCCTTACGTACTATTCTCTTCCTATTCCTTCTTCATTTGATGTGACATTTAGTATATATGCTAGCACTGAGGCCCTTTCTCTTCATCTAAATGTATGTGTATATGTGTATGTATATATATATAATGTATAAACACACTTGAACATATGTATGCATATAAGGTTCAGGGGATTAATTTTTTTCTTGATACTGTGCTTGTGAGGCAGGTGGCAGCACCACTGAGCCAAATCCCTAGCCCCCAACTGATTTTTTTTAAATTAGGGTATTCAGTTTTGCATATTTTCATGCAAGGAAAAATTTCCTACTACCAATCTAAAGGGTTTTTAATCCAACATAAACTAAGCATAAAAAGTAATAACAACTATATTTAAGAAGAGCAGAACCAGGCACGGAGTTGCACAAGTGCAATACCAGCTATTCAGGAGACTGAGGCAAGCAGATCACAAGTTTATGGACAGCCTGGACAATTTAGTGAGACCCTGTTTCAAAATAAAAAAATAAAAAGGGCTAGGGACATCACTTAGAACTCCCTGAGTTCAATCTCTACTACTTAAAAAAAAAAAGCAAGCGAGAATTCACACCCTAAAGGCACTGATACCCCTCATGGCTACCAACTATCAGTAAATGAACTGATCAGTCCTAAAGTCCCCAGATGAAGCTATAAAACTTTAGGCTATATTCTGTTATGTGAGTACAAAGACTCTACAAAACAAAAGCAATGGCAATAACAAACAGAAATGGTGGAAGTTAATTTCAGTATGAAAAAATATCTTTAAATCTAATAACAAAAGTCTAAAGGTAAAAACCTGTACCATTAATCCTTTTTTTTGACAGGAACAGGGAACAATAATCATTAAGGAAAAATAGACTCAAACTGCTTATTATTCAGCATTCTAGACACCTTTTCCCTATTACCACTTGTCTTCTTCATGAATTGAATCTCAGATTGTTCCTCACCTGTTTTCCATCTAAACAAAATACACACCAGAACCTGAATTTTTTAAAGCAAAATATAAGTACATTTTAGATATGCATAATGATAATACTCATCATAGGGAATTTGTACCTGTACATGATAGATCTTGCTTCTTTTCTTTCCCCACTCCCATCCCCTTCCTTCTACTCCTCTTGCCCTCATTTATAAAAGCTTTGTTTCCATTTTTTCCTCTATTCTTTATTTTCTTGTCCCTTCTTTCCTTTCTCCCTCTCTCCTCCCTTGTTCCCCTTCTCCTCTGAACATTTTCTTCTCATTTCCCAACATCTATTATACATTTTGGTCCTTATTTACACTTTCCAAGATCTGAATTTTTAACTTTTTTTTTTTTGGTACCGGGGATCGAACTCGGGTCCTTGCACTTGCACAGCGGCGGTGAAACTACTGAGCTAAATCCCTGGCCCGATCTGAATTTTTAAAACACCAGATTTACATTCAATTTTCACAATGTAAAACATAAGAAGTAATTATGTACAATTTTTAGTCTTCCTTCTTTCCCAGAGCCACTGACCTTAATCTCTAAATTTCTGAATTAGTCTAAACTGTATTCCTACAACTGCAAGTAGTGAAAAGAAACATCTGTAAGACATCAAAACAATTCTGAAAAAACATTTCTAAGACTTAAAATACACTGATGTCAACATAAAGAATTGAGCCACAAAAAGAATATTGATTACTGCTATGATATGTTGTTTTGAATTTAGGAAAATTAAGGTCACTTGTCTATTTCAAATTTGCAGCCCAGTGATATAAAGTGGGCACTGTTCGAAGCCATACCTGAGGTTACTGGTACATAAAGAGTTATCCACATCCAGCAACTATATTAACCTAGTAAAAAGAGAAAAGTTCGGGCCGGGGATTTAGCTCAGTGCTTTCGCCGCCTCCTGCGCAAGCACAAGGACCCCAGTTCGATCCCCGGTACCAAAAAAAAAAAGAGAAAAGTTCATTCGTATTAAAATTTCATCAAAAATAATGAAACAGTCATCAGAAGTATTAACACAACCACGCATCTACAAATTCTAAAGCTATTTTGATGGCAACCCTAAAGTGGCTTCTATCAAACAAAACTAAACCAGAATGCTTCACGGAGAGAACGGAACAGATAGTGGTGGACTTGAAATGCTAAATGACATGGGGAAAACATGTCACTGAAGAAGTAGACGAAGACACCATGGGAAGGTAGTTTACTAGACCCAAAGCTGCCTTGACAATCTGTCTAAATAAAATGGTCAGCTTCAACCGTAAAGAATCTTAACTAATAAGAAAGTGTAGTATTTCAAACAATATTTGGGAAAGTAAAGTAGAAGTAAGAATCTAAATAAAACAAAAGGAAGAACCTGACTATTCACTGACTCCTTTAGCCCCTGTCCAGCAGCACTTAACTGCCTTCACCACCCAACCTAACGAGAATGTACTGCTCGGTCGCTTCAGCACTCCTCTTACAAAACAGCCCAGATTCGGCCGGCCAGTTCACTCTGCCGTACCTACCCACCACAACTTAACCTGGTTGACAATGACTTCAAGAAATCATGGATCTAGGTTTAACCCCTATGAGAGTTTGAGCAAACTTACTTGGTCATTCCAAGCCTATCTCCTCATTGGTAAAGTGAGGATTAAATCAACGACTTGATCTGAACATAGATGCAAGTGCCTACATACAATGTATATTAATTCTGATCTATGGCTACCCTCTCAATTAACTTCACTACTTTGCTGCCATTTCTCAAACAACTTGTATGATAATGACCCAGTTGATTATTATATATTTTCTCTACACATGCAAAATCCCCAACCTCTTCTGCAACCTTCTTCTTGCTCTTCACTCTCAGAAAGTAATCGTCTTGCCTAAATAATGCAAAAGATGGCTGCCTTCAAATATGAGTACCCTTCAAATTAGTTACTACACAAATAATAGGGATCACTCCCTCCTCTGAACCACTTACCAGCAGAGCTATTCAACTGGAATTAACAGATTTATTATTCTATATAGATGTGTTCCGCTCCCAATTCGATAAAACCCTAAATGGAGATCCAACATCTTCAAAGCCTCTTATATATTCAATACTATTGGGTAATATACATACACAAATGGCTGGTGATCATTTAGCTTCCAAAGTCTACCACCAAAAGGTGTTATTGCTTCAGTATTACCTCACATAACTTTTTTGATCTTTCCTCAATTTTCTACCTGTACATCTTTGCTTCTCTCAGCTTACCTACTCGCTTCTGTCTATTCAAATACTCTAGAAATAATTCACAGCCCGGTTCAAGTGTCAAGCATATAACCTTCTCTGACCAATCGCACACTAGTCTGAACTTGTAACACTTATTATTAATGTCAGAATTTTCCAATATGTAGATTAAGGAACATTAGTATGCTTAAAGGTATTAATAAGCAGCCTAGTAAATTTGTAACTATTGTATACAATGTATCTCACTCTTTCAAAATCACAAGGCATATAAGCACTTTAAAGCCTCTGAGAAGTTCTAAATATCCGAAGACAGATTAACCCAGTAATTCTGAAACTTCTGAGATCAAAGAACATTTATTTCAGTGAAAACCAATTAACACTTTGAAAACAGTAGCATTCTCCAAATTGCAATTTGGGATACTATGGCTTTCACTCTTTTACTTATGTAGCAATTAACTATACATTTTGATACCTTTTATGTTGTTATTAAACTTAAAGGTGCACGCATCTATATCTCCCAAAACTTGACCGGAAATTCCTTGGGAACTGCTATAGGCAGCTTGTAATGCTGTTGCTATTTTGGGCATTAAAATAACTACAGACAAACAAAAGCTAGATCAACACTCTTCATTTGAAGACCTTTCTAAACCACAGACTAATTTACTGAAACAAGCAATCTTTAGCCTACAAATCTTTAATTGATAACTTAAAGATACATATATGTAACAGAGCCTGTTATGGGCTGAAATGTATCCTCCAACAATTTTTAGGTTGAAGCATTAATCCTCAGTATTTCAGGATATGACAATGTATGGAGATTACAAAGGTAATGGAGGCTAAATAAGGTCTCTAACCTAGTCTGTTATCCTTAAATCTGAACACACTAAGGATGCACAGGCACAGAAGAACGACCATGTAAAGCATAATGAGAAGGTGGCCATCTGCAAAGCCAAGAGGTCAAACACCAGCACTTAGACCTGTACTCTCTAGAATTATGAGAAAAGAAATTTCTGTTGTTTAAGCCACCCAATCTGTCATATTTTGTTATGACAGACCTTGTAATCTAATATAACCCCTAGCTTCACTGCAGTATAAACATACATACGTGTGCAGACACAAAGGTACCTTTTCTGATGTAGTAAGTTAGTGGTTAGCAGAAACGGATGTTCAAAAGAAAGTAGTCAAAACAATGAAGAAACCTGAAATTAATTAGTGAAGAGGAAATGGGGGAAAGCTTGTCCCAAGGGAGAGATTATCCATGTAAAAGTGAAGAGGAATGAATTAATGAGTGGTAAGGGAAGACTGATTTCAGCTCAAAATAAAAATTTTTGATACTTAGACCTAGACAAAAGGACCATTCAAAGGAAGCGTGTTGCCCATAATTAGAGATGGAAAACCACAGCCTGGTCATCCACATGGCAGGAATGTTGTAGGACAAATTGGCTGTCAGCCAGGAAGTTCTTCTACAGCCTGGTCTCTGGGATCCTGAGATACCTATTTCTCCTTAATCCCCTGAAGCGTCTGCTCCTAACACTGCCAAAGACAGAGAAAGTAAAGAAAAACATTTTCTTCCTGTCATCCTGTTGTCAGAATAATGGCTTGTAGAAACAAAACTACACAGTAGATAGAGCTCATAGAACTGGTACTATGGCAAGAAAAAAGCTAAATTTGTGGCCAGGAGTGGTGGCACACACCTGTAATCCCAGCATTCAGGAGGCTGAGGCAGGAGGATCACTGTGAGTTCAAGGCCAGCCTGGGCTGCTTAGTGAGTTCAAGCCCAGGCTGAACTTCATAGGGAGACCCTGTCTCACAAAATTTTTTTTTTTTAAAGTTAAATTTGGGGCTGGGGATTTAGCTCAGTTGTGCCACCACCTGCCTTGCAAGCAAAAGTCCTGAGTTTGATCCCCAGTACCAAAAAAAAAAAAGTTAAATTTGTATGAACCTAAATGTCAATCAACATTGTTTCTAGAGTAAACCATGTTCTCCATTCCAAATTAACGCAGAACAATTTCTGGAAACATATCCTATTCATGAGTTTACCTGACTCCATTCTGTATTATTTTATGTATTTTAGGTTTTGTGTCCCTTGAGTGTGAGCTCCTTGTGGACAAAGGCAACTCTTTATATTTGTGCATGCTCTCACAGATCTTTATCATGATGCTTAACAATTCTGCTTCATTAATAGACATTAAGATCACCAGATCTGGAAATTTTGTAATTACCCAGAGCAGGGGTATTTAGCTGATTGGGGGACAGGCTGCTTAATTTTCAGTCCAGTCTGACTGACTCTGCTTAACTCTGGACCATTTCACTTCCCCAAGACTGTTTTCCTCTCTGCAAAACAGACAAAGTGAGGATTATGGAAAATATTCCATGTAAAAGCACCTGAAACACAATAACAGGTACTGGGTAAATGCTTAGTATAATGCTCAGCACGTAGTGCTATGTATTAAATATTTAGGATCTGTCCCTTATTACAATTATTCGATTCAAAATCTATCAGATTAGTAATAGGCTGATTTTTTAAATAAATAATACAGCTCTTCCTTTTCCTTTCAAAATATTAAAAACGATTGATGTGATGTTGTAATTATATTCCTCAAACTATAATGAAGAAGTTTGCTTTCAGTCTGAAATCTGCTTCTCCCAGAATCCTCCAAAGGAGCTCAACAATCAAAACAGAGCAGCTGATTACTCTGCAGCATAACAATGGTGTTCGAGACTTACGTCAACTAACTGAACATGTGACAAGAACAACATTTCCTCCTTTGAGATCATCCTGTTCCACAGCCTTTTTCCTTTGCAAGGAACAAGTTAAGCTTCTTCCGGCCTCGAACTTGAAACTTCTCACTAGGCCCAGCTCCGCACCCCCGCAGGAGCACAATAAATCCTTACTGCACAAGCAATGAGAGGCAAAACGGTGGGGCGGGTTCGGATTCCTCCAGAGTACATTCAAAGAGCAGATCCAGGCAGAGGCCCTACAAGGAACGTGCCCATCCAACTTCAGTGACAGTCGCGCCGCCACCTCATCACTGCCCAGTTCACCGCCCTCGCCTAACACTCAGCCATGCTTGTTCCATGCAAAACAAACAGCTCCGACCCCCTCGATCGTTTCTCTCTCAAAGTATCATTTCAGCTGCCCTCAGGGTACAACTTTTGCAAAAGCGACAGCCATCCAAACCCACCTGGGTCAGATCCTGCTAGACTACAATCACCACGGCTGCAACGAAAGCGCATGCGCCTGTTCCAGGCACCGCTCACGTGACTGGAAGAGGCTGGATTTGGTTACAGTGCTCGGTATTCTATTGAAAGGACTTAACACAATTAAGGCTTGGTGCCTTGCGCATGTGTTTGCGCTTAGCCTGGTGGGAGTTGTAGTTTCGATGGCGAGGCTCTGCATTGTACACAGTTACATTGTACACAGTATTTGTAAACCAAGCTGCAAGTTTTGAAGAAGTTGCTGGGTGTCCCCACCATCCTTACAGCCCAAGAAAATTCCAGAGGAGGCGGGCCCAGCGGCCAGCTCTCAGAGCTGCTACCCGAGATGCTGCTGCTGTGGTTGTCCTTGATCACGGCCTGGGCGGGGGCTGCGCCAGCCCCGGGGTCAGAGGGGCCGACACTGCGGGCAGCCCGGGCACCGAACGTGGTGCTGGTCGCGAGCGACTCGTTCGTAAGTCCAGGAGGGCGGGCAGGCGGCGCGCCGCTCCGGGCAGTCGGACACGCGTTAAAGCTTGCTATCCCGGGATGCGCAGCTGGAAAACACAGTTTAGTGTGAGGCCTTGAATGCACAGACTTACCCACATACCTATGAAACAACACTTTAGTGAGACGCACTCGGGTAGCAGCTTGACAAATCTTTCACTCTTAAAATATATTCTATTAGTGCATGTTAATTTTTAACATTGAGTTTGAATGTGGTATTTTCATACATGCATATAACATAATTTCAGCATATCCATCCCTCATTCCTTTAACACCTTTCTCCCTTATTCCTGTCTTCCTGAAGCCTCCCTCCTGCTTTCCTGTCTTTTTTTTTTCTTTTTAGATTGCACATATAAGGAAAACATGACACTTGTCTTTGAATCTGCTTGTTTTGCTTAACATGATGATCTTTGGCCCCATCCATTTTCCTGCAAATAACATAATTTCGTTCTTCTTTATGGCAGAGTAATACTCCATACACACACAGATATATATATATTTTTTTCCCCCCGCACCCATTCATCAATTGGTGGGGACCTGGTTCTATACCTTGGCTATTGTGATTGTACCACAATGAACATGGCTGTGCAGGTGTCCCATGGGTATATACTAAGGAGTGGTACATTTGGATCATATGGTAGTTCTATTTTTAGGTTTTTGAGGAACCTCCTTACTGATTTCCATGGTGGCTATGCTGCTTTACATTTCTACCAACAATGTGGAAGGATTCTCTTTTATCCACAAATTTTTTGTTTAAAATGCTGTTCTCAACCCACTGAATTATTTTACCCCTCCTAATGAATTTTTAGAGTTCATATTCTACTTTGATTCAATTGTAGGAAATAACACTGCAATATCATAAGAGTATTAGCTTTTCACAAGTTATTTACAAGCTTGCCTAAGTTTGCAGAAATTAATATTTGGATGAGAAGTGAAAAGAGTTAGCTTTTTATTTTTATTACCCATGTATTGATTGTCCTGTTAGTGCTGCCTTAAATGTGTTACTCATATAATTCTAAATACTGCCTCATATTCCAGAGAAAGTGTGTATGTAATCTTAATTTGAATTGAAACTATTCAGTATGATCTCACAATTTACTTTCCTCTTTCTGAAACATGTATTTTCTACATCTGTCCATGGGAAATGTCTAAAAGCAATTTTTAAAACCCTCATAGTTTCAATTCAAACTGAAGATTATGAGGATATATATGAATATAAGATGGTAATATTATTACAAATAATGACATTCCTGAATGCAGTCTAAAATTTCTTTGCAGTTTTTGTTTTAGATACATTCAACTATACAGCCAAAACACTGTCCTTTAAACTAATTTGAAATAATTCTCTCTATGGTTCTGTTATACCAGTTTGGTGCAAAGTTAGATTCTTGAAAATATGATTTATCATTCCTAGAATTCTACAGGCTAAAATAGGACAGTTGAGATAAGATAATAACATGATAATTGTGATAAGAAAATAACATGAGTTTTGCTTTCAACATGCAATGTAAGAAGCTCCACAGACACATTTTCCAACAAAACATGCAAAACTGTAGCTAAGAGGGTTTTTTTAAAACTTAAATAAATAAAACTTTTAATAAAACTGACTTTTAAAAACTATTAAATAACAGTGAAAACATTTAAAAGGTCTAGAAATTGCCATAAACGCATATGCAAAATGAAGAGATATTCGTTCAGCATCTACTATCCAGGCCTGGTGGTGCACAACTGTAATCCCAGCACTCTACAAGACTGAGACAAGAAGATCACAAATCTGAGCCCAGCCAAGGCAACTTACCAAGACCCTGTCTCAAAATAAGAAATAATACAGAGCTGGGATGTAGATCAGTGCAAAGGTCCTGGGTTCAATCTCAAGTAACACCCAAAAAGGAGGCAGGAAGAGAGAGGAGGAGAAGGAGGATATAATCCACTAAAACTTGGTAAGAAAAACAAGAGTCCGTGACAGTGAAGCATGGCTTAGCTTGACAGAGGTTTTGCTCCAGATATAACCAAGATGACAGGGCTACCTTTTCCTCTCAGTTCTCAGTCATTCATTAGTGTATCTCACCAGAAGAGACAGCTGCCAGCATTTCTCATCTCCTGCAGCTCCAAGCTGAGCCGGCTAAATCACAGGTCAGAGCAGCTGAGATGTTGGGGGCTCTAGGCAGGTGGTGGAGCCTGAGAATGCTAAGGCCCAGTCACCTTGCTCCAAGATCATTAGGGCACAGGAAGGAAATGGTAAAGACTACAGCAGAAATTAAGGAAACGGAAAAATCAATGAAACAAAAAGTTGATTCTTTGAAAATATTTTAAAAATTGACCTTTTGCTCCACAACCAGGAAAAAAAAAAAGACCTGAATTACCAAAATCAGGAAGAAAGACATTACCTTACAGAAATAAAAGAATTTTAAAGGTAAGATTGACACTCCCTTATGTAATATATGACAATGGTATGTCAGCAATTAGGTAACTTAGATGAAATGAGAAAATTCCTAGAAAGACACATGCTACTGAAACTGACTCAAAAGGAAATAGCCTGAATAAACCTATGACAAAGACATTAAGTTGATAATGTAAAGACTGCCCCTCAAAAAAGGCCAGGCCCAGATGGCTTCACCGGCAAATTCTACCAGACATTTAAAGAAGAATAACTTCATAAACTCTTCCAAAAAATAAAACAGAGAAACATTTCCAGACTTGTTTATTGGATTCATGTGCCTGACTTCAAAGCCATACAAATACACACACACACAAACGTATGCATGTATATTCTTTTAGGAATATAGAAGCAAAGATCCTCAACAAAATACTAGCAGATAAAATTATCAGTATATAAAAAGGATTATACTCCATGCCTAAGTGGATTTATCCACAAATGTACAATTGACTTAGTATCTGAAAATCAATATACCGTGTTAACTGAGTAAAGAACAAAACACTTGTGATCATCTCAGTAGATGCAGAAAAAAAGCATTTGACAAAATTTAGTAGCTCTTCATGATAAAAGCACTCAACCAAGCAGAAATAGAAAGGAACTTTCTCAACCTGGTAAAGGGCATTTACAGAAAAAAAAAAAAAAAAGCCAGACCTAATATTATACTTAATGATAAAAGACTGAATGTTTTCTAAGATCAGGAACAAGACAAAGATTGTGTTCTCACCACTTCTATTCAGCATTGTACTGGAGGTTCTAGCCAGAGAATTAGACAAGAACATGAAATAAAAGGCACCCAGGGCCAGGGATTTAGCTCAGTGGTGCTGCTGCCTGCTCTGCAAGCACAAGGTCCCAAGTTCAATCCCCGGTACCAAAACATAAAAAATAAAGATAAAATAAAAGGCACTCCTTTGGAAAGGATCTGTATTTGCAGCAATCTTGTATCCGAATCCTAGGGAATCTACTTCAAAAGCACTGAATACAAAAATCAACTAAATTCCTACTAATTGATTAACAAAACTTAAGAAAACAAGTCTATTTAAAGTAGCATCAAATGGGATGAAATAATTAGGGATAAGTATACTAAAGTACAAGTCTTATCCTCTGAAAACTACAAAATATTGTTAAAAGAAATTTAGAAACACCCAAAAAAATAGTAAGACATCCATGTTCATGGATCAGAAGATTTAATATTGTTAATATAGCAATACTAATCAAAGTGATCTACAGATTTAGTGCAGTCCCTGTCAGACTATGGCCCTTTTTTTTGCAGAAATAGAAAATCCTATTCTAAAATTCATACAAAAATTCAAAAGACCCAAGATAGCAACAACAAAAATCCTTGAAAAAAAACAAAGTCAGAAGACCAAATACTGCCTAATTTCAAAACTTGTGACAGTAAGCAATCGAGATAGTCTGTTATTAGAATGAAGATAGACTGATGAACAGATCAGTAAAATATATTTGAAGGTACAAAAGTCAAGATATTGTGTTACTGTCATAAAGATAGATTTATAGATCAGTGAAATAGATTTGAAAGTAAATTCTCATATTTATAATAAATTGCTTTGTAACAAGGGTGCTATGACCATTTAATAGGAAAAGAATAATCAGTTTGTTTGAGACAGGTCTTGCTATGTAGTGTAGGCTGTCCTCGAACTTACGAGGATCCTCTTGCCCCAGCCTCCCAAGTGCTCAGATTACGGACATGCATCACTACACCCAGCAAAAATAATCTTTTGAAAAGTGGTTCTATGAAAACTAAATATCCACATGAAAAATAATGAAGTTGGACCTTGCCTTCCACCACAGACAAAAATTAACTAAAATAAACCAACAAATCAAATGTTAAAAACTAAGATTATAAAATGCTTGTAGGAAACCATGGTGCCAATCTCTGGAATCTTGGATTGCACTTTTTTTTCTTAAACTGGGCAAAAGATCTGATTAGACATTTGT